TGAATCTGTTACCATTAGCTTATACCAGTTATCCAACTACACATTTGGACCCCTCTTGAATCCTGTCAGCTTCTTGGCCTCAACAACTTCCTGCAACTTCCGCAACTTCCATCGACTTATGCTTCAAATAGGAAAAGCATTTCCTTTCATACATTTTGAAATTGTCATTTTAAATTTCATTGAACTTTCCCTATCCTCTCATCTTTGAGAATTCCTACTCTCCCTATTTTATAAATGAATCTTCTCTCCATCATTAGTTATTTTATCTATGCTTGTATCCTTTTTGTTCATCTCCTCTCTAACATAAACATTCCCAAACTTTTCATAGCAAAATTTTTTGGGTTTTTTTGCCCCCCCAATTAATTTGCTGTTATCTTAGGGACCTGGATATGGAATTAGACATCTGGTTGTGCATATTGGTAGGTTTAGAGTAGTGCAGGAAATAAGTCGACCATCTTAGATTTTGGACCACAAATAAATGTGAGTGAAGCAACAAGGAAAATTCTTGAAAACTTAATGGGCCTCTGTAAGAGACAGATGTGTGTAGGAAATCCATTGCGTGCGAGATGGCTGGAAAATATGCCCATTTTAAAGAAGTGCAGCCCTTTTCCCATTCTTACCACAGTAAGCCTCTTGTTTGTCCCCTTCATAAAAAAAATAAATTCTGCATAATTGTTCCTCCTATACACGTAATTGATTCAGAGTACATACTGGAATTGCTGATTCCAGAATGTTTTAGAGAAGACCACTGCTAGAACCAGATAATTCTTTGAATAAAAGCAGCCACTAACATTCACATAGCACTTCCACAAAGTGCTCCCCACTTTCCTCATCAATCCATTCATATTCACTGCTGTTTCCCTATGCCAATTAGCTTTAATTTTTACTATACACAGTGACATCAACAGCCAATCGGTGTATAGAATAGCCAGGTTTTTAGTGTGCCTATAAACTACAGAAAATTGTCCTTGGAAAAACTCCTGCTTTCAGATTGGCTGACGACAATAGACATGGTTAAGTTCAGGGTAAGAGCCATTAAACATAATTACTACCACAGGGTAAAAGTTTAATTGTGTTAAATTTTAAATCTGCATAGTCTAAGCTTATTTACAAGCTGGCTGGATCCCCTCATTACATAAAGAGATATAAATCTGTACTTAAAAATTGCTGTCTTCTAACTTTGTGGGGGAGGGCAGGTTTTTTTTTAAAGCCTGGTTTTAAAAAAACTCCTTTATCTCCAAGTCATGTTTTTGCTGGTGGTATCATGCCAGTTAAAATCACCTAAGTACTGCAGACTTTTTGATGCATTTCTCTAGTACGCCTGCACTCTGCTTAAATGACAAGCTTCCTTCCGCTATGAAGAAAATATATCTAGGGGACAATGTGTGTGGCTGTTTTACCAAGGAATATATTGATGGTCAATAGAGAATTGATATGTGAGCTACAAGTTATAGTAGAATCAGACTAAAAACAGGCCTTGGATTTCTCCTAGGATAAAGCATTTTATCCTAGGATCCTGCAGATGGAGAAGCTCATTGTCCCGTGTTAAGTACCTGTGAAATATCCGAATTAGTACTTTGCCCTGGGACAATAGTGGCTAATTCGAGTTAATTGCCATTCAGGCTGCATGTGTAAATGACTGTCCCTCCCCTGTTGGATGCCAGTCCCCAGGTAACCCCAGCATTTAACATCTGTGTGGGGTTTTTTAGCTTTAGTGAATATACAGATCTAAAAAGCTCCCTAATTTTAATCCTATTTTTCAGGGAAGTGCCAGAATGAGGGCTTTATCGCACCTTCACTTCAACTGCAAATTATTGGATTCATAGATTCATAGATGTTAGGGTCGGAAGGTACCTCAATAGATCATCCTGCATAGGCAGGGAAGAGTGCTGGGTCTAGATGACCCCAGCTAGATGCATATCCAACCTCCTCTTGAAGACCCCCCTGGATGGTTGGATGGTAGCAACCTTTTTAAAGTTGGGTGTTAGGATATAACCCTGGCCTGGAAGGGAGCAACTTTTGCAACTGCCACAAGAGCACTTAACATGTGCTGTACTCCTTGAACTTGCAGCTGCTTGATTTTTTTTTTTTTAACTGCACTTAGCATTAAATTGAACATGCGATGCCACCCTGATTGTGAAATAGTCATCTGTATAGAAAGGATTGTGGGGAATATCTGCAGCTCAATAGAAGGAAAGAAGTTTAACACACTGACTAGCTGGAAGTTATGCTTATGTCGACATTAGAAAACAACTGATTTCAGCTGGCCAGAACATAAGCTGCAGGTCTCTTGCAAACATTCAGTACAGTTAAACAATCTGTTTGCCTTCAGCCCCCTGAAAAGAGACAGGTGAATCAAGTGCCAAATACATTTTTCATGTTTCTTAAGCTAACTGTTTAAATAGTTAAGTGAACATCTGTCCAAACTTCCCCATCATTTCCATTTAGAGGAGTATCCTATTTGAAACATGAAGAAAAGCGCCTGCTTAACAATGCAAATGGTGCTGTCTGGGGCCCCTTTATTTTGTTTAATCTAGATTGAGCTCTGCACAACTGTGATGCTAATGAATAATGGATATTTGATGGCTGCACATGCAGCAGTACCATGCCTGGAACAAATCTAGGATTAAGTTTCCCTTTTTCCTCTACCAGATATATTGGGCTGGTTCACTCAGGTTAGCTGTTCTTGCTGTGGTGTTTTTGGAGGGGTGAGTTTTCATGTTTTTTGTGACTTGGTCATTCTAAAATTGTAAATACCCTTGTACTCCCAATCTGCTGGTTTTGCAAGGGAACCAAAACAGATGACTGTCCCTGCTGGTCTGAAAGGTCCTGTTTATACAGTGGGAGGAGACGGTAACAATGAGGAGTGATCGAGGCATGCTTTTGTGTTACTGAGCAAAATAACTGTGAATGGAGGAAAACCAAATTGGAGGCTAGAATCTCCTTGTACAGTCTGTCTCAAATAAAGGACTTCATATAACCACACTAGCCCTGGAGCTTTCCAGCACCTTCTGTTCCAGTTTGCTACTGATCCACATTCTTCCTTAGAAATCTCCCTGCCCAACTGTGAGAGCAGAAGCAAAAGAGAGGATGCTTTCTAATATGTATTTAACTTGCAGTGCAGGGAAGTTAGGGCCTGTGTTGTGTGGTGTCATAAGGTGAACATGTTTCCATTTGCCTTATGTTAGGTTATACAGACTTAAATGCTCTGCCATTTTGCTTTGTTAGGTTTTCCGACCCAATATGGTGAAGTCTTAAAGCAAGATTATATAGCTCTTATATCACTCCTTTATGAGATTTCTGTATAGCCACTGTACTATAGGCTTTTAGTGAGGTAGCAGGAGAAAATGTCTAGCCTCCCAAAGAAAATTGTTCTTTTTTATTTCTTCTTAGAATTCCAGGAGCTGCTTGTTCAGGAATAACAGAAGAATGATGGATGTGTACTTTAACACGTGACACAAGAAATAAGATTTTACATTATCTACCAAAAAAACCCCAAACAGTTGGGGGGAGGGGGGTTAGTTTTGAGGATCATACCACTTCAGGGATCATGCTCCACAGATCAGTAGCATTGATAAAGTGAGCAAATTACAGGCTGAGAGAGCCCAGCATAGGTTGAAAACCTTTGGCTGCTAACTGATCCTCTTCTACATCTCCTGTCCAGGTAGGCAGATTGCATAAATTAATGTATTTAGAGAGGCATGAGTTTTTCATAGGCTTCAGCCTACTTCATCTGAATGAGTGAGTTTATAAGGTGCTGCCCTGTATTGCCTTCTGCTGAATTTGAGACAGCTAGCTATCTCTCTCCTACTTAGGTACTTATGAAAATAGCTAGCACCTTCATTCACGAGATCCAGCTTCAAAACTTTGAGAGATGCCAAATATGTTCAATATTTGGGGAAAGTGTTACAAGCATGTGTTTGTACACACAGCTAATGATTAGTATGAGAGAGGTGTTTTCCATATTGCTTCAAGAATAAGGTTAAATCTCAAGCTGTCTTCTAAATAGAAATGAACTAACCACATGTATGTTGATTGTTCACAATCTACAGCTGAAACTTCTGCTTCATGAACTACATTGCATGCAACTGAAAACTGATTTTAATGGCTTTAATTTAGAAGTGCGGTGGTGCCTATCACCAAGGAGTGGTTCTGGCTTATAGGTCTGCAGGGACTTGTTTTTGAGGGTCAGAGCTGGGGGAGTGATACTGTAGCTTTCGGTTATCCCCCTGAGGGAGCTGTAACAGCAGCAGACATCTGGGGAGACAGATAGGGACAGCCAAGATGAAAATGGCAAAGCTTCCAGTGCTGAAGGGCTATCTTCAAGGATCCGGGAGCTGAAGTGGAACAGTTCAACATGCCGTTTGTGCCTTGGTGTAAGAGCTTAGCTGGCTCCCAGGAGGATAGGGTTAGGAGCGGAGGTGGGGAAGTGAGAAGAAAAACCTGTAAAGTGGCTGTGTAAAACATGAATGCATGCTGCTTTTTATGCAGGAGATAAGTTAGTGTCTTCGTGAGCTGTGGCTTTGTCTGCTAGAGGTGGCAAAGTTTGCAAGTCTCCTGCACTTTTGCCCCACACAGCTAGGTTACTGATGGTCTCGGTCAGTCCGTTTGCTCACAGTGAAGAGCAAATGGGGCAAGAATGCAGAGGAAAGAAAGCAAGATATGCAGAGAACAAGCCCTGCTACTCCAGATAACCAGAGAGTTTGTTGTGACTGAAATTTTGTGAGCCCCAAAATAGCATTCTAGGTGTTTAATGTTTTTCTCCATTAGCCAGTAAATTAGCCCTAGGCTCACGAGCTGAGTGAAGTTTCATCTCAACAGGCAGAGCTTGCTCACCAGGCAGTTTTATCCCAAGTTCCTGAACACTGGTTGGTCAGCGAAATGGAGACGGCAACTTCTATTTATTGGTGCAATACAGTATTTGATACTGCTAATTACACTTAATTAGTCCTTCCACCATTTAATTAAAATGGCTTCTAATGATTGTGCTTCTTTGGCAGGCTCTTTGGTACCACCGGGAATTGTGCTGCTTGCAGTAAACTGATCCCTGCCTTTGAGATGGTGATGAGGGCCAGAGATAATGTTTACCATTTGGACTGCTTTGCCTGCCAGCTCTGCAACCAGCGGTGAGGACACAGTTATTATACAACCCCCCCACCACAAAAACAAAACAAAATGCCACACAAACTAATTTGTTTTTTGCCCACGGAACAGGAAAATCTGTGTGATCTGCACTGCTTTTCTGAGACTTTCAAGCAGGAGGAACTCTCCAGCTAGAACTGGTTGAGTTGTCTTTTTGTGTAGTTACCTGCACAATACCTGTCTACCCTGCAGTCCTTTTGCTTGTGGTAGCTCCTTACCATCAGTAGGTTTTTGGTGGGTGAGAAGATTGCACATTTGGATTCAGTGTGCACTACACAGCTGCTCTGAAGTTACATGAATAGTATCTGAGTTCTTTTAGCATCTAGCTTGTCTGCTGAACATCCGTTGATAGAGGATTTTGTTTTGCCTGTGTGCTTTTTAACTCAGGTTTGCTTAAAATCAGTCTTGTAATAGACCCAGAAGGCAGGGACAAGAGAGAGATTTAAGGCAAGCCCTTTCCAAGTTGAGGAACAATTCCCTTCCATTTTCTGCTTAATTACTGTAATTAGGCATGCTTGTGGTATAACCCAAAATGAGATTCATTCAAATAATAACTGAAGGATGTACAATAAAGGAACATGTGAATTCTGCCTTACTTACTGGTGTCCATAGCTGACTGGATGTCAGGACTGCTATGACAAGGTTTTAGGGCTCAGCTTTCTCTTGTGACCTTAGTAGAACTGAGTTTGAGTCCTGGAAATCCGCTGCAGTACATGCAGCACATTCTCCCCTTCAGAAACATGAGTCTGTTTTTTAAACTTCTGATGTTCCTCTCAATTACAACAGGACTGAAATACTTGCTACATTTTAGTTAAGCAGGGGGAATGATAACTGTTCAATGCACAAAGGCCAGATGTACTTTGGATTCTGTCTTGGGAGTTGAGAGGTGTTTTGCTGATTGCTGGGTCAAGTAGGCAGCTCTAATACCTACTTTATTTGTGAAGTATGTGTTAGGAAAAGGAGATGCAGGTAGGTGGTGCAGCTCTTGGTGTGTTCAGGGGAGTTCAGTGCTACTTGCTTCAAAGCCAATATTTTTCTTTAAAATTTATAACTTTTCTTGTTTACTACCCTGAAATCTGTCAGTATGGGACACTTAGGGGAGGGGGGAAGCACTGTAAAATGTGTGTATGGCAAAGTACGCACCTCCATGCACAATGCCCCGCCAGCTCCGTATTGGATTGGTGAGAATGCACAAAAATACTGGGACTGACTTTCTCTCCTCAAGCTAATTTTCCACCAGTGTAAGTTGTTGAAGTAAATGGAGCTGTGCCCAGCCACTACAACAGTGCACATGAGAGCAGGATCAAGAACTCAGTATGTAGTTTGGGTGGCTTTAATTGAAGTCACTGTATCAAGCACAAAGCTGGTATTACTTGTTTTGGGTAGAATGCCTTCCTATTAATGCTGGCAACTGTAATAAATCAAGCTGTCTAATTTGATAGGTTATTCCACTGTGGTTACAGTGACATCTAGTGGCTATTGTGTTTGGACAGAGACAAACTTGAAGACAAATTACATCAAAGTACATTGGTACCTGGTCTTGCTAATCCTGTCTTTTTAAATATGCTTCTGACATACTGTTACTGCCATTCAGAAGCTCAGAGAAGCCCATTCACCTTGTGACCATGCCAGCAGGTGGCAAGCACTTTATTCCACCCACCCTACTCCTGAGAAGGTGCTCATAATAGGGCCTAATGTCCCAAGCCAGAGTTTCCAGTTGTGCTTTCTTCCTGGTTCCTCAAATATTGTACCAAGCATTTCAGTTGCAGGCTTCATCATCTAGAGCTCACTGATCCCAAGCACTGGCACACAGGAAAATGGTGATCCAGCTATCAGACCTAGTTTAGACTGTGGGATTGACTAGCAAGGTTAAGGTTAGGGGAGACAAGTAACTAACTTGCAAGTAATCCTAACTACCCCATTTCCCTAAGCAGAAGGAAGATATCAGACTGTAATTGCACTCCTAGTTGGCTAAAACTGAATTTAAATAATGGCTGTGCTTTCCTTGGGAGTTCACAAAAAAACATTTTATAGAGAAAAGCACCACATAAGTTTTCATTGTGAAGGATAAGTTTTATTTCATTCTCTTCTTTTCAACACAGCCCTACAGAGCAAAGAAATACAGAACACTATTCTCCCTTCATTCTGCTCCTGGTAGCATACAGTTAAGACCTATCCTGCTTGCAAGTGCTTTGGTACTCTTTCCAAGACTGTCCTCACACAAGAGGAGGACAGGTACTTGCCATAGTCAGGACAGAACAACAGTGTAGTGCAAAGAGGCCTAAACTTTTGATTTGGGGTTGTTGTTTTTTTTGAGAACTGGGATCACATTTTTGCCTGAAGACATGTCACACAGGCAGTGCTGGGGCCTATGGCTGTATCATGCTATGGCTCAAACTTGAAGAATCCAAAGTCTTGTGCAAGTTCTCAGGAGATGTTTTTCTAAAGCCTTAATGGTAAGAGTATCATGGAGTCACTTGTTCCCAAGACATTGGTCACATTTTGAAATGCAATAGAAATAAATCTGATGTTCAGTCTGGACATAATTGAAAGATACAACATCAGGGCTGGGCTTTGAGGAAAGGCTTTGAATGTATAGCCAGTTCTCCCCTGGTCCCAGATGCATAGCTAGCTATTAAGACACCCTGGGCCAGTGGAAGGGGAAATGCTGTTCTGCTGATTTGCGGAAGGTAGGGAACCTTACCTGCCATGGTGGGCTCCCTGCACACTGGCAGCAGCACAGGCTCAGACTACTGTGGCTGCAGAATGGGCTTCCCATATCCCAGGTGAAGCTGCCCCACTACAGGGGCTTCTTGGGATGGTCATCATTCTGGCATCCTCTGTAAGTCGGTGCTGGGGGCTGGTGCCCCATTCACCCACCCCCTGGTTACACTACTCTGTTGCCCTATAAATTTGTCCCCTTTTGCATCAAAGCTGAACAGTAAGATTCTGTTGGAACATTTGCTTCTACTTTTAGCATGGTGGTCATAATACAAGAGTAGGAAACACTTTTTAAACATTATGCGATCTGAAACGTTTGTCATTTCTCCTCTCCAGAGCACATTGCTGCTGTTTAGACTTCAGCAGTATTTCTCTGCCTTAACTCCACGTTCCTTTTTTAAATGGTGTGGGTTCCATCTTTGTGGTGCTCTGATCTCTGCTGAGACTTGCTCAGTGAGACAGGTCTTTCTGAAGGGGGGCCACTTTGCATTTGAAAGCTCAGTTCTTTTCTCTTTGTGCATTGCCCTGCGGAAAGTTGCCAGGTGTACACAAGTGGAACAGAGTGGGAAGCTGGCCTACTAAATCTTCTATTGTTGGTGAAGATGCCCGAGAAGGAAAAGACCCAGTTTTCCACTGGGTCCTGGCTGAGTGTGCAGGACTGACAGTTAAAAGAAAAAAAGTCCTCGGTGTTATAAATTCTGAGACACAAACTTGGGGACCTCATGATGCCAATTTTGATCAATTTTTTCAAAGTAAAACCACACACAAAACTTTTATGAATCAATTCCTAGGCTTTTTATTCCCACCCCACCTTGCAGCAGTAAACCCCAGTTAGGTCTAACAAAAGGCAGCTGTTGGTTGTAATAGTGACAGGACTTCAGTTTGCATTACTTCTCCTCAGGTTTTAAGTTCTCAATTTAACATAATAGTAAGTAACAGGGAATAAGCAGCTGTGTCTTTACTTTAAATTGAGCAAAACCTTTGGTGGGGCTGTAACTTTCATAAGAATGTGCACAGGGCTGCTTTTTAACTTCAGTCTCATCTTAGATGAGCAGCTTTTATCTCTCTTCTGTACTACAAATTGTTAGGTAGTTAAATTTTCAGAACCACTATACAGAGCACAGACTTGCAGCATGCTTAGTTTAAGTCATAAAATAAGAAAGCCACAACTTTACGGTCTTCCTATGCAAGGAATCAGCTGACCCATAGGAGAGGCTGGGATGTTGTAGGGCTTACATAAAGGAACATCTCTCTTGTAATGTAATATGTCTAGCCTCATGCAAAAACTCTAGCTCTAAAAATATTCCATCCAGTCCCTGGGAAGAAGCAGATTTTGGCAACTTAAAATGAATTTGCTGAGGAAGGAATTATCTTGCATTTGTGGACTCTGTTGTGCATAGGGTCTGTGTTCTTCCTCCCATACCCCTGACTAAAATCCTTGTCTTCTTAAAATTGCTGTTTACTGCTTCCTTACAGGACAGGTACTTACTGTGTCTGCCCTTCTGAACTGGCCTTAGCATGGATGAACTTAGCCTTCTGTACCTGCTCAAAAGGCTACAGTAGAGGATGCTATTCTGTCTTGCTCTGCTATGACCCGCTTTGCCTGGGTTGAGACAAAATTTGTCCTTGAACAGGAATCCACTGAAATTTAAAAACTATACACACACCCAGATTAGCCTGCATGTGTGCAGCAAACAGGAAGTATGAAGAGGTCATTGGCTGTCAATTTGAACCTTTTCAGCATTATATGTGGAACTTTTTTTTACATTAATTGTCAAATAAAATTGCTAAATATCACAAGCCCCTCTGTCAACTTTAATACAAATAGAACAATTTACATGGTATATAGAGAACATTATGCTCCTCTCAGTGAAGATAAAGGTTAAGAGTCTAGCCATCAGGAAATTTCTATTTATTGTTCTGTACTGTACATAAGGGTGTGAAGAAGGACTTAATAGCCCGTCATTGCCTATAAATTAGTGTAAATACAGCCTCACCTCAAAGGCTATGGAAATATGAATACCAAAGAATGCCTCATTTTTCCCGTGTAATAAAACCTCTCTGACTTTCCTGTTTGTGTTCTGGAAAGTCTTGTCAATTGGGGCAAATTTCTTTCATCCTCCTGTCAAATTATTCTTAGTTATAGTAATGTCCTGGGGCTTCAGCTGGAATGAAGCCCTTTGTGCTAAATTCTGCACAAGCCTGGTGTGAAGCTGCCTCTATCCCAGATTACAGTCTCAGTAGGCAGCACAAACAAAGGTTGGAGGGATGGGAGGGAGGGGTTAAATGGCTGACCCAGGCTCACCTAGAGGATTGGTCACCAAAAACTACAACACAGCTCTCCTGGTTCCCAGATCAGTCTTTATCCACAGAACTGCCCCCTCCAATTCTCATCTGAGGGGCAAAACTGATGATGTCCTTTATAACCCATCTAGAATGTTACTCTTGTGTCATTTTTCCCCTTCGGTATAGAGCCACCAGGTTAAAAAAACAATTACGTTTTAGATATCTGATTTTTTTTTTTCCCTTTACATTTCAGATTTTGTGTGGGAGACAAATTTTTCCTGAAGAACAACATGATCTTGTGTCAGATGGACTATGAGGAAGGGCAGCTTAACGGAAGCTTTGAATCCCAAGTTCAATAACGAACCCTGCTTCACTGAAGCACTGTGGGATGGACGTTCGACCACACGAGCAGTGAGGGGCGTCTGTCAGCTTGCCTGCAATATTTTTTTAATTCTTGGTCCAGAAAGGACTATATACATTGTAGTACTTTTCCCCCTTCCGCCCCCCCAACACAAAGCAGTTACAATTTTAGATGTACAGTTGTGCCTGCTTAGCTGAGCACTGCATTGCCTGTATGTTTGTGAGTTTTTGAGGTCTGGGGGAGGGCTCTGTACAGTCTGTTTTCTGTATATAAACTGGAACATTTATTTTATGAAAAATGTAATGCAATTTTATTACTGGTGTGAATTAAAAATTATGAATGTTTCCTGGTCATCTTGGTTGTGATTTTGTTTCTAACAGTCAAGGGTGGAGGGAGGGCAGGAAGAGGGCAGCATATAAGATATAATAATATATAAAATATATCTATTTAATATCATTATATATTATATTATAAATATAAATGCATGTATTTTATTGTGTGTGTATGACACACAATTCCCTGGAAATCGCACAAAATAAAATCACAGGAAAGAGTCTAAAGAAACTCAAAAATAGTTGAGGAGGAAGTGCTGGTCTGAAACCTAAGCCTCTTGATTGGAACCAAATCAATATTAATCTCCAAAATAACAACTGCCTAAAAAGAGAGGAAACGTGTGAGGGCTCCGGAGTATCTTCATATCCCTGATCAATCCCCACAGAGACTACTATAAATAATGTGTTCAATTGTTGACTATGGGCACTGGTCTCTTTCTTCTTATGCATCAATTCAGACAGCAGTGTGATGACCAAGAACCCTACTGACACATTACTATACAGTATCTCTCTAGTTTGAATCCCAGTGAATGGAATCGCAGCAGCCCTGACAACAGGTGGTCAATGACCAATCAGACTATTCATTTCAAGGCTTTGATTAAGGGTTTAATGTTTTGATACAGGGCATCAGCTTCCCAAGTAACAGGCACCAAAATATTTGATGCCAAGGACTTCAAATGAAACCTACTTTTGAACTTACACCACCTGTTTAATGGACTCCTCTGGTTATTGCGTACTAGGTGCTTAGACCTCCCACACAACAAAAGCTGTTTGATTTTTTTTTCTTTTCTTTTTTTTGGTTTATCTTTGGTCAGCTTTAAACAGCTGCTATAGAACAGCTCTGAATCCTGTTCAACCTACTGTACTCTGCTATTTTACAGGCTTACACAATTCATGTGCAATGCTTGTTACTATACCAAGGAAGTTTTACGTCCATCTAGGATCCCTGTTATATAAGTGCAGGTAGCACTTGAGAAGAATAACTGAACAAATACTTAAATTCTACTTGTGCTTGTCTCCTGCTGCTGTTTTTTTCCCCTTCTGTTCCTGATCTGTAAAGAAGTACCAATATAGCTTTAAATATTAAACTACCAGTCCTGAATCAAATGCAGCTTGTTTTCTCAGCACTGCAAATACTATATATGGATTTTGGACTTTCATACCTATTGCTGTACATCTAGACCTCAACCTGGGGGAGGAGGGAAAAGAGAACACCACCTGAAACCTAAAAGAAACCCTGAGCTTTTACTAATGGACTAATAAACTACAACACATAGCCTGGAACCCCTCTTGATAGCTCATTCTCATTTTTCTGGAGGCAACTGTTTTCAAATTGGGATGGCCTATTGAAAAAACTGTTTGGTCTTACCCCGTTCCTTGTCTATAGGTGTCTTTTTAGCAAATCACTGCTCCATTTGGTATTAATTAGTCCAACTTAGCAATATTTCAGCAGAGATGCTGAGGAGTAAATAGTTTCCTTACACTACCACTTTACTGCATGATCATATGGGGACTTCTAGTTACAGTGAAGGAAACTTCTTCACTCATGCAACTCAAACTGTATTTGTCTCTTGAATTTAAAAGGGCTACTATATCCAGGCTAACCCATCTCCCATCTTTTAAGTGCACTAAATTCACAGGAAAATTGGTATCTGTGGTTCCTTTCATAATCCAAAATGGCTGCATTTGTATAATGGGATATCTTTTTTAATAGAAATGGCAGGAATTTCAGCTTTGTTAGCTCCCCTGTCAGATCTACCTGAGGTTTGGTGCCAGTCAAGGAATTTCCTTTAAGAACCAGTACTTACCCTCACTAGGAAACATGGACTTTTTAAATTATGTAGTGTAACAGCCTTTCACAAAAAGAAGCATGGAAAATGTATTTTTGAAAGATTTGCCAAGGTATCTGGCTGCTAGTTTCACTTACCCATTCCCATCCTATAGTGACAATGAAGGTAGCCACTAGCGCAAAGCATTAAGGAAAAAATATATCCAGTTGCTTTTAGGTTGTTTAGAACTTTGGCTTAATAAAATGGCTGTTTCCTGTATAGAGAGATTCCTTCGTACAAATCGGAATCCTTTCTCTATGCTAAGACTACCAGCCTGTTGAGCCCTCCCACAGGTGCCTTGTAAGGCCACATGATTGTATCTTGTACTGAAATAGTTGGCACATAAAAAGAATAAATGTGTCTTGTTCAGAAAGTTCTCTCTGGACACATGGGAACGTTTTCCTTCTGAATCATATTTTCTACTGACAAAGCATTCACAGAGCCTTTAAGATAAAGTAACAAAACTGTAGCTTGCTGTTCCTGCTGCACACAACTCCTGCCTGGGTTCAGATTTAACTGAAGTGAGTTTTAGGATAAAGTTCTTCCCTTACCAAAAATACCATTAAAATGTCTTTTCTACCATCTTGTTTATAATTGAATGAATTAAGAGGGGTGTTTAGTGGCAGCGTATGACGCAGCAAATGCAACCTGGCACCCCTCTTGAGACTATAGGCTGATATCAGATGAAGGTGACATCCAAAAACAAAAACGGGGTTTAGATTGATGAGTGGATTAGGTTCCGTGTAGACTAAAAACTACAAGGCAAGATTTAAAGAAATTCACAGAACGCTGACCGAAATAGCTACAAATAGCAAGATGCTGTTTAGGAGCGGGATCTGGGCTAAAAGTAAAGTAGTAGAAACAAAAACATTGCTACGGAGATTGGGGGTGTTAGAAAAACTAATGAATGTGTTAGATATAAACAGCAAAAAGGAGATAACCCCTATTTGAGACTTGGTGGATGTGTCCTAATCAAAGAACTAAGTTTTCTTGAAGTTCAGAAGCTAAACATATTAACATCTTTTTTTAGTACCACTTCACTTCCTGGTTTCATGGGGAAGTGACACCATGTCGCATGTTGTCAATGATTGCTCACTGCTCAAGTTCAGCGGCAGGCTACAAGAACTGCACGTGGCCACTGAGGATGCTATCACACAGCTCAGTGATTACGTACACAGTGACTGACTAACACACACAATAGCATTAGTATCTCTCCACTGGTGGCAGGGCAAAGAAAATCCTTGGAAAAGGTACAATCTACCTGTGCCCCACAAAGACACCGTCCTTAAGTTCTCATCCTGCCTGTTTTTTTATACTTTTCAGTCTGGACAAATTCAGATTGTAAAGAGAAGGCGCAGCTGCAGAATGTAGCAGCTGAGGCATTAGCTGGTCTGGACCAGATCTCTTGAGTGTACACCAACTGGTGATGTGCAAAAAGGAAGTGAGGAAGCAGTTGCATCAGTGCTCAGAATTCAGAGTATTATATCATGGAAGGATAGTGGTACATAACAAGACTTGGAAGGATTGATTGTAGCCTTTCTTGTGAGACACTCTT